ACATTACTCAAATAGATAAACTGGGCCTTGAAATCAAGTAGACTTGCCACATTGATTGGGCCTGATTGGCTTGGCATGCTTGAAAGAGGGTTGGCATTTGGGCTAATAATTGAATCATTTGTGGACCGGCCCAATTAGAGTGAATTGGACCCAAACACTCCGTTTCATTTTTCTTTTTGTATAGATAAAGATACAAAAGGCAAATGATGTAGGCGAAGTTAAAATCAAATCATGAGGATCGCCCAACACATTTAATCCACTAGCCTGGCTGATAATTCACACTATTATTTATATCTACATGTACAAGATGAAAGACTTTTGATATCATAATGATGATGAAGGAGATTAAAAAAAATTTATACTTGTATACACTTACAGAATATATAGTCTCATGCATCATTACCAAGTTTAATCAACATCAAGAAAAAAAAAATAGAGGGCTAAATTATCCACCTAAATTATTAACCATCCTCAACACCAATAATTTTTTTACATTTTGTTTTTGGTTGTTTGTTGTATACCACCGACAATTGACGACCATACATTACAAAATGTTGATCGAACAGTAGCTTTCATTCGACTCCAAGATCACTTAGTCCCCTTCGCCGAAGAACTTGAAGAAAGAACTACCACATGATATTTTGTATGACATTCGAATATTCAACATTTTAGACTTGAACTTTACAAGGTATCTTTGCCCCTCTCTATCGAAGGGCTCCACCCAATTAGACTATATTTATTACTCCATATATAATTCAAATGCCATGAATATCCCACAACTCTGATGGTTTTGGCTTCACATAAACAATAGCCTTCAGCCTTTGCTATCACCAAAGCACGACATTTAACCTAAGTAAAATGCTTATGGATTCACCCCACAACAAAACTGTCATGGGCCATTCTTGCAAAACAACATGCTAAGCTACATCAATTACAAGTGTTTCAGAATCAACCCTAATTATATCAGTATTCTTCTACATTCAAACTCCGTATCAAAATTCAGAATAGCAGAAAAACCTGTTAAAATCAACATGCCTTCATTAGTGTGGACGTGTGGTACATCATAGACAGCTAATTGCCTAATATAAACCGTTTATGTCAAATTTAACACTACCAAATGCTATGCACTAATCTGGCCATATATCAAAAACATTTAAAACAATAACCTCGAAATCATCAAAACATTCCAGATTAACTAGGATCCTGAATTCCTGATCAACAAAGGATAATCAGCCTAAAATTCACAAACTCAAAAGAACAGCACATGACCACAATTTATAGACAGGATGTAAATTGTCTCCTAGAATGACTCTTTTTGCAAGAAAAAAAAAAATTACCTATTTCCTAGAACATCTTGAATCTAGACCCTTCACATGTCCTACCTAAGTTCAAGACAAATTCATCATTTTTTATCATCCCAAGAATTTCAACCGAGACTTCCCCTATCTCCAAATGATCAGTCATGAGACAATGTTCAAGGGAACAAATTCATGTCTCTTCTTATGTCATTTCATAAGCCTAAAATAAATCAAAGTAAATAATTAAATCCTATAAATATTAATAGTTTGATTAAAGAAAGAGATCAACACAAAGGATGAACATGGAAATAGTAGAGATGATCATTACTAGTCATCAAAAGCTCTTACGCTAGCAGTGCGTGTTACACACTCACATGTATCACGTACCATCCCGGCCATGGTACACCGAGGTATACAGTTAAGGTTCTGATCACCAAGCAAGAACATATCCAAAGCTCTTACACTAGTAGTGCATGACTCGTGCGTGTTACACACTCACATGTATCACATACCACCACGGCCATGGTACACCGAGGCGTACAGTAAGGGTTTTGATCACCAAGCAAGAACATTTCCTTCCATGAATGAAGCATTCAATATGCCCTTACAAAGCTACTCCAGAGTTAAGTATAAACTTCAGCTATCTCAACGGCACAAAACCATACACAAAGCCCGAAAAACATACAATTCAAAATTTTGATAGACTTTCGGCAAGTAGAAGTGTAGAACAATCAATATACATTACTATATAACCAATATAATGAGCTGCATGAATTGCAAAGTACATTAACCAATGCCAAATGTATAAGATTTAACCAAGATTAAGCTCAAACCAAATCAATATAAGATAAAATGTATGATACACCAGATTTAACTTGGGATAATCCCTTTGTAATGTTCAAAAATTAAAATCAGAAGCCGCCAGAGAAAGTACAAATTGGAATACAACTCAGAACATCATCGGACAAAATTGATAACAATTACTCAAATAACCAGGTTAATTCCATCAAACCTCAACGCCGAAATTAGATTGAAAAAATTAGGGTTTCATCGATGAGCAGTAATTAACGTTTCAATGAACCTCAACCCGTCAAATCTGGGTGAAAATTTCTCCTTCCCCATTGATGATGACGACGATTGCGCGCCAAAAGACGCATTTTCCTGCATTTATTTAAAAAATAAATGAACCCCAAAATTCATAACATCATAATAAAATAATAATTGAATCAAAAACCCAAAAAGAAATTGAATTGAATTGGGGGAAATTACCTGTAATTGGGAAGGAAATGTGAAAAGAGGAACGGTAGAAGCTGCAAGAATGGATGCAACAAGACCGCTAGATCCTTTCATTATTGTTGAAATTCGATTGAATTGAATGATTGAATCGAATCAATTGAAAATTGAAAGACAAGGGTTTCAGAAAAATGGGCGAAATCCGGCTGAGAAGAACTCCGCCGAATCTCGACCAAGAAGAATCAGGAAGAACAGTAGAGTAGTTTTGAAGCTACCCTTGTCTTTCTCTTTTGCCAGGAAGAAATGTTCTGTACTTTGTAACTTACACGTTTTTCTTTCTTTCTTTCTCTGTTTTATCGGATTTCTTGCTAATTTTGGTTGTTTTATTTATGGTGGGTGGTCAGGTTACAGCATTCAATTGATTAGATTAGGTTTGGGGTTACTAGGTTGAGAAAGTCTTTACTATTCTTAATTAAAAAAGGGAAATAATTTTGTTGTCAATATGAAGTATGAGACTTTCAATTATGATGTTCTAAAGCCGATATTGTCATACTTAGAAATATCGGAAAACTTAATTGGAGTTTGTTGAATTAATGTTGGTGTTTTTAACGCTCTCTTAGTTTGGTTAAAGTTATTAGCAATGGTTTTTAGTTGTTGTTGATTATTGCCGGTGATTTTGACACTTTTTTAGTTTGGTTAAAGTTATTAACAATGGTATTCACATTGTCGTTTTTAATAAACCTATGCGTTGATGGAGACAGTTTGAATATTATAAATAAACGATATCACTAGAAGAACTTTTGTCAAAATGTGTGGGGGTTTCAATTCTTGGTTGATTGAAAACATTAAAATCATGTAATATCTCCCCCATATGTCATGTATATTGATAAGCTAATAGGGTTACTGGTTGACGGGCCTAGCCCATTGTGGGCTTCAACGATAAGAAAATTAGAGAAGATAATTGCTTAATAAATCTCTCTAATGTGAGAGATAATTTGATTATGATAAAGGAAATATGGAAATTAAAAATCCAACCTTTGCACTTTCTTCTCTAAAAAATCCAACCTTAAGTTTATTCCACAAAAATTCAACCTTTATACCTCATCTTCACCAACAGATCCATTACCTATCAAATCAGGTAAACTTCCTACTTTTCTTAATTCATCCGGTTTCTTCCCTCCCTTATTTATTACCGTTGCAGGTAGTTAATGGCCCATTAATTCACTTCATCTCCCCTGTTTCTTCTCTCTTTCCCATCTCTTTAAAAGCCCCCCCCCCCAATCTAATTTTCTTCATCCTCTTCAATTCCATCTTTGTGCTAGAAAATTTCTTTCTTCACTCTTCTTGAAATGGCAAATCATCTGTCTGTTGGCTTTGGTTCGTCTAGGTCTAGGACGAAGGGAAATGCTTCCCCTTCACAATTGGTGTGCTACCACAACAAGATTGCGCCATTGAGGACTGTTTGCTATGATGGTCCAATGAAGGGGAAGAGGTTTTATGGGTGTTCTTACTGGCCTGTAAGTGTGCGAGGTTTCAATTTTGTTTTTATTTTTTTTAATTGAATGATCAATTTGGGGTTCAAATTTGATTATTTTGTAGGAGCAGAGAACTTGTGGTTTCTTCAAGTGGGTTGATGAGGTTGATGACATTCGTGAGCTGCAACACGTTGTTCATGAGAAGGAAACAACAATCTGTGAACTTGAGCATGAAGTTGAGATGCTGAAGCAAGAAATGGAATTGCTCAGGGACAAAGTGAAGAAGCTAAAGGCGAGAAAGAGAAGTTGTTCGAGGAGGTTGAAGAAATGCGGATTGCTACAACTAAGACTATGTTCGAGCTGAAGGAGAGCAACACTGACAAGAGGCTCATGCTGACTTTGGTGTTTTCTTGGGCTTTTTTCACTTTGGTGCATATGCTTAAGTAGGTGATGGGGGTTGGATGTTGTTGCAGGTTTTTGGGGATGAATCAGTAGGGTTTGGTGTTTTTGGGGAGGTTTAAGATGTAGTTGGTTGGGGTTTTTTTTGTTGTTTATATGATGCAGGTGTTTCTAGTAGGTTGATGCTTCCAATTAAGTATGTTGTAGTTGTAGTAGTAGTAGCAGGCAGTGATTGGCAAAAAAAAAAATTCTAAGTTTAGTTTGGTCATATGTGGACCTAAGCTAGTAGGTGATGGTATGATGCTAATGTAGGTTGAAATATACATTTTGGCAACTGATTTCAATGAAATGAATATCTGATGTTGCTTTTTATACTTTGTGTGTTTTGTGATTGCAAAAGTTGGCTTAAAATAAAGGTGGAAAGTGCTCAGGTAAATAAAAGCATCCTTGATTAAATTAGAAGGCAAACTCATAAGTATTCAAATCAACCATACAACAATACCACAATGCTTAGCAAATTGTCTCAAAAACAGATTACAACTAATCATTGTTTCTTAAAAACGTAGTTAACTAAAATAATCTAGGAAGTGGACCCTTAGTTGAAGTTGTATGAAAAGCTTCTGGTAACAACACTCCCTTCTTTGGTGGCTGCACTTTCATGTACCTGTAAGTCAAATCCAACAAAAACAAACAAATTAAATTAGGCAATTTGAATAGAGAATATGCACAAAACAGACAATCTCAAAAATAGTATGTGTAAAAGAGCATACATAAGAGCTATCTTGTGTCATAAACATCCCATAGCCTACAGAAATCTGAGGCCCCTTTCCTCTTCCCCTCCCTCTCCCTCTCCTACCCCTTGAACCTCTTCCACCTCTGTCATTTCCCCTTCCCCTGCTACTCTCCATTCCTACAGTGCTAGTAGGATCCCCTCCCCTGCCACCATAATTTCTAGGCTTTCCCTTTCCCCTAGTGGCTCCACTGCTGCTTGCTCCTCTGCTGCCTCCCCTGTTGATCACCCTGCCACCTCTTTCGATCCTTGAGGGCTCTGCAGTTGCAATAAGATGGGAAGGGGGAACAGGCTGTACTGGTTGGACAGGTTGATCTACAGGCTCTTTTCTAGGCCTACCCCTAGGTTTCTTTACTGGGGGTTGTTGGGGAAAACTTGTACCTTTATTAGGGTAACTTCTTTTGTTATGGCCTTTTGACATAAACACATCATTTCCATGCCATGTCTTGTAAGCTTGCCTAGTTTCTTAGGGTCTTCAAAAGGGTCTTTCCTCCTATTCTTTCTTGGTCTACCTGGGCCTATCTTGATAGGAGAAGGATCCAAACCAAGTCAGATATAGGCTAATGCCTCTCACCCTCTAATGGCGGGATTAAGTTCTCATAGGTTTTCAAGTAAGTTTCTTTCTTGTAGGAATCATCCACATAGTCCTCTGCAATTCTTATGCAAGAAGAATATGGCAGCCGCAACATGACAGCAAGGTATCCCACACATATCCCACTTCCTACATGTGCAACTCTTCTTGTCTAAATCAATAGAGCAAGTATCCAAGTGGTAGCTTACTTGGAACAACGTCTGTGTGGATGGCAGCACATCATAGTGGGCAGCTTCTTCCTTTTTCCTTCTCCAATTTTTTTTTTGAATCCTAGGGCATAAAATAGTCTTCCACTTCAACATTTCTTCCTTCTTAACAATCAGTCTCCTCATTAGAGCACCTCTAATGTCCTCCACATGTAAAGCAGATACTTAGCCCTAGCTTGTATGATGTATCCATTAAATGTTTCAGCCATGTTGCTTATTTGTAATTACATCTGCCTTCACTTCAGTCTTCAAAAAGGCTCTATAGAAATCCTTAGGGTTGTAAAACTTGAAGGCTTCTGCTGCAACTGGGTCTACAGTAGCTAAGATGACCATAGCATCATTGTAATCAGCTTCATTGTAAGCTTTGTCATAGTTCCAAAACATAAGTTTCATGTCATCACCCTTGAAATTCTTGTGCCAATGAGCAAAAATGTGTCTTGCACAATGTTTATGCTCTGCATTTGGCAGCGTAACTAAGACTCCTGCTAAGATAGACTAAAACAAAGCATTCACAGCATACAGTTACACATTCATACAACTAAACAAGCACAAAAAAAAAAATGTAAGTAAAAAAATTATAGTAAAAAGAGCAGTGTAGTTACCTGATGCTCATCTGAAACAATGACAGTTCCAGCACCATCACCAAGTTCAAGGCTCTTCTTCAAGTTGTTCAAAAACCACTCCCATGACTTGCTGTTCTCACCCTTTACAACAACCCAGGCAATGGGGTACATCTGATCATTGCCATCTCTCCCAACTGCTGACATCAACTGCCCTTCCAAAAAAGTCTTCAAGAAACATGCATCCACACACATCATTTTCCTACAACCTTCCTTCCAACCCTTCTGCACTCCTTCATAACACACATACAGCCTTCGAAAGATTTCAGGGGGTTTCTACAACCTTCCTTCCAACCCTTCTGCACTCCTTCATAACACACATACAGCCTTCGAAAGATTTCAGGGGGTTTCTTCTTCTCCATGTAAGTTACTAAGTCCAAGTGTGTGTGGACTTGTCTTTTTCAATGCTTCTAAATACCTCCCAACTTTCCCATAATATTCTCTCATAGAACCATGAAGCTTTTTATGGGCATAATACTTCACTTTATAAGCAAAATCTCTCTTAACAATCACCCTGTAAGCCCTCCTAACAGTCTCAATAATTTCCTTAACAGGCCAATGTGGTCTAGCCTTGAACACATCAAGCAACTGCTCAGTCAACCATGTGCATTTCAATTGCTTGTTTTTCTCCACATTTCTTAAGCAAGTATGGTCCTCCATGACTATCTTAAGTACAAATGAACCCCTCCTAGAATCCCAGGAAGCATACAACCTAAATGGACACCCTTCTAAACACCTCACAATAATTCTTTGCTGCTTAGGCCTGTTTCCTAACACAATGGATAAGTTCCCGCCTTGAAAGACTGCATACTTAGCCACAACCTCCTTAAATGCTACTCTATTACCAAATCTCTGTCCCACCATCCACTGAAATACTTTGAAGTCTATGTCAACCCCTACCAACAATTCCCTCCTAATTCTTCTTTCCTCAATTGTTTCCTCATCCTCACTTCCCCTAGGTGCATGAATTTCATCCTCTGACTCCTCATATTCAGACACAATAACCCCCTTCCCACTACTTTCCACTAACTTGCCCCCTTCCTGTTATGCAGTAAGTTTTCCCTTACCAGCTTCTTCTTGAAGTTTCTGCGCTAATTCATCTACATAAAAATTAAAACCCCTAACTCTCTCCCTGGCTTCCTCATGCTCATCATCACTGGTGTCTAAATCATTCACCTTCAGGGTCGTTTAACAGCTCAATGTCATTAGTCTCACCATTTGCCTCACTAGATCCAAAGTTTGCCCCATAAATTTCATAGTCACAAAGCCAGTCCTCTTCTTCACAATCAACTAGTTTATCCTTATGCAAATAGTCTTCCTCACACTCTTCCTCATAATCAGAATCCCACTGGTACTCATTTTCCACTACAAAATCCTCATCTTTCTCATCATCACCATCATCATCTACACCATTCAACAGGGTGTCTATGGGGATAGGATTGTTTGGTCTGTGTTCCTCCCAATCATAATCATCAGGAACAGCAGACCTGATAAATTTGGATGGAGTTTCGGATGTGTTTGTAGGTTGAAATTGGGGATCTGGTTTTTGAATAGGGTTTTCTGGTGTATGAGATGTGAATGGGTAGATACACAGGAAACAAGACTAGATTTAGGAGCTGCGTGTACTTCTTTGTTTGCTGTTGGAGTGGGGACCAACTTAGTTGTTGTTGTTTCTTTATTCAGACCAGGGAAAGGAATCTTATCTCCCATTGCACTTGATTCCTAGGTCAATGTACTAGGCCTCTTAGGAGTCAATTTTTTGGGCCTATTGGACTTGGTTGACTTCAGTCTAGGGGTCAAATTGGGCTGGCTTATTGTAGTGGATCCAGTTTGGGATTGTTGGACATGGACTAAGAAATCAGGCTCAACACCATCATGCACCACATACAAATCTAGTGTTCTGCTGTTCAAAATGAGTCCAGCCATTGTTCTGAACTCAGCATCATCACACACATTCCTCAACCCTTCACACCATTAGGGTTTTGCGATTTACCTTATTGAAAGCAATATGCAATTCCTCTAGCCAATTTCTCTTCCGCATACATAGATACAACCTTTGGGGACCTTCGAATTCAAGGAAGAAAAGGGAAAGATGGAGTTTTTGAAGCTTTGGTAAGTTTAAAAATGGCATTTTTTTTTTCAGGAAAAATTCGTTAAAGAAGAAGAGGATTTCGAGAAAGGTAATAAAGTTTTGGGAGGGAAAACAAAGAGGTTAACCTGTTTATCAGGTCACCCGTAAAATGGATCTGTTGGTAAAGATGGGGTATAAAGGTTGGATTTTTGTGGAATAAACTTAAGGTTGGATTTTTTTAGAGAAGACAGTGCAAAGGTTGGATTTTTAATTTCCATTTTTCCTATGATAGATATATGACTTTCTTGGGAAAAAAATAATCAATGAAAATCCTTAGAAGTTTCACTTCGTGATTGAAGACATTAAATTATAAACATGCAATAACATCACCATACATCATGTGCATCAAGAAGCAAATAGGGCTACTAACATTCTACTAGACCTACCCTATCCGGGCTTTGACAATAAGAAATATTTACTTAATTGTATAAGTCTTATCCTTGTAGATATAAATAGGATGAGAAGACAGTAAAGGTTACTGATTCTGTAGGATTCGATTTATTCACCTAAACTTAATTAAAAATAACTTACAAGATCTAATTAGATCGAATTTTAACCTTGAACCTAATTGGCGATCTACCCTGTTTAGACATTATTAGCCTTAAAACATATTTTCAAAGTAAATATAACACACCGTCATATTTTATTACAAAAAATTAGTAAAATTTCTACTCGTAATTCAAAAGATTTCACCTTATATAATTCAAGAGCACTAACACAAGTAAATTATTTTATCACCATCTCATCAAATTAGCATTCCCCTAACCCCAACACTGTCATATTTTATTACAAAAAATTAGTAAAATTTTTACTCGTAATTCAAAAGATTTCACCTTATAATTCAAGAGCAGTGAAACAAGTAAATTATTTTATCACCAGCTCATCAAATTAGCATTCCCCTAACCCCCCAAAAAAAAAAAAAAAAAAAAAAAAAAAAAATCTAAAACAATTTTCATTCAGGGTGGGTCAAGGTGATATTGGACAACCTTCCTCTATGAATACGATGATATATTCCGAATGACTTATGATACAATGTGTTATGATCTTGTGCTGCTTCACAATAATTATAATATAAACTATAAAGTGAATACAAAGCCTTTTTATTTAGTTTGCAGTAATCTAATCGCTAATGTTTAAAGTTAGGAATAGACAGCTGAAAGAAAATCATATAATAAGGGTATGTGAACTGTGAAGACATATGATGTTGTACAAATTTTAAGGACTAATAAATTAATAGATGAAAAATAATCCCAACTCCCCCTCCCCCCAAAAAAGAGAAAAAAAAAAAAAAAAAAGAGCCCAATCATTTTCCCGTTTATAATACAAGGAGCAGCCTTCTCAACTCACAGGGCCACGGTCATGGCCATCAACCTTCCTTCAATTCCCATCGAGAGGAGGGGAATGCTCCGAATGCAAGCAAATGGTTCTTGCGACCTTTTCATGAGCAACCCAAGTCATGTCTTCCGCCCCATTCTTGCAAATTTTCTGGCCACTCCAAATATCACTGCTTTGGTCAAGAGCCCTCTGTCAATAGTGCATGCAAGTGCAATAGCCCCACCAACTATGAAAGCTCTACGTATGGCTATCCCTGATTTCTCCGAAGAGTTTGTATCTGTGTCATGATTTTCAATTGGCAAATCACCAGTTGCAGCCTCCAATGCCTTGAGGTAATCTATACTTACTCGAGTATTAGAATGAGCCATCAAAGCACAATGAGAAAGTGGCCCTCCAGACAATCTCTCTTTTTGGTATGTGCGCAAGCCAGGGTCTATCTTCTTAACTGCATTCCACATACCCTGCTTGATTCCAAGTTTTGCAATCTCCCAAGGTATACCCATATCTTCATGATGGAAAAGTATTACCTCACATGCA